AAGGGTATTACACAGAAACATACCAAGGGAACATGAATCAAATATGTATCTTTATTCATTTACAATAAACTCATAAAGTACATCATTTTGATTGAAGCTAAGGGCATACAAAACTGTCTAACACTTTGCATCTCATATGTATGCCAACATGATGTGCTACAGAAGAGTTTGTTTTCTCATGCCATCTATAGCTTTTTATATAAAAATATGAAAAATCCCTCCATGTTTCTGTTAGTAGTTTAGTTGTTGCAATTTTAAATTTCATTAATTCTACCATACCAAGATTTAATCTGTTATTTTATTGCTTCATTATTTGTAGTTAAATGTGCATGGTTGTAGACCTAAATAGCTACCAAATATTTTAACTTTAGTGTCAATTTGAATGGATTGTGTGGTGAATGCAGGTTAGGAAATATGACAACCAATGAGACAGGTGATCTGCGTTCAGCTGGGGTGGTTCAAGTTCTTGATGTTGGTTGTGGGGTTGCCAGTTTCTCAGCTTACCTTCTTCCATTGGATATACAAACAATGTCTTTTGCTCCAAAAGATGGCCATGAGAATCAGATTCAATTTGCCCTAGAGAGAGGAATTGGTGCAATGATTTCTGTTTTAGCCACAAAACAACTACCTTTTCCATCAAACTCATTTGAAATGGTTCACTGTTCCCGGTGCCGTGTTGATTGGCATGAGAATGGTAAACTTTTATTTTCAGTTATTTAGTTTAAATAGAAACCTGAGCAATCTATTTCTATTTTTATATTGTCATCTTTTAGCAAGTAAAATGTTTCAGACATACTTCAACATTAAAGTTGGATTGAATCTGTTCATTATTTAAAACTATCATCATTTATCAAAAACGAAGTTGGATTGAATTTTCTGATATTAACAATAGTGAAGAAAAAGTTTCAGATGAAATCTTACCAATAACAATGAATAAATAAGTGGCTCACACTCTCTTCCTATCCCATTCACCAAATACACCTATTTGGCATCTGAAATCATCTTGGTTTCAATTGATCAAGATCAACTGTTAAAATGCTGTTCAAAGCAAGAAGCCAGGGAAAGGCTTCAACTCTAGGAGGAATTAGATTATACTCTAGACACAATGAACTATTAAACTGATTTAAGTGCCAATCTTATTTCTGGGGAGTTGGCTTCAATCCTTATCTCTAGTTTCAATATCATCGCAATGCATTTGCCAATTTCTCTATCCAGCAATGGTTGCCTAAATTTTAGGCACCACACAACCTGCACCCTTCTCAAAACATGGATTGACCATGATGTCTGTAGAGCTTAACCTATAAAGTCTTGGACATAAATCGCTAAGTTTCTCCTCTCCACACTACACATTCCCAGAATCTAACTATTATTCCTTCACCTACCAAGAAACTGGTAGTCTACACATTCCCAGAATCTAACTATTATTCCTTCACCTAC